TAATCCACTTCTTTATTAAATGTTCTATTTTGCTCCCTAAATTTTTTTTTCTAACTCTGTTACTAACCTCACTTACATATCTACGACTTGAATTTAAAATTTTTTATTTTATTTAAAAGAGAAATTACCAATAAACTATTTCAGTAGTGGTCACTATATCTATTTTTATCTTCTTGAGCTATAGGCTGTATACATGGTGCCACGTAAGCTCTAATGTGGAATTGCATTAGAAAATCCTAATAAGAAGCTGTGATAGAGAGACTGTTTTAATACATTTTTTTTAAAAAAGAATTAAACTACTCTGCAAGGAAATATAGATTTTAAATCAAATGAATGATATTACTACGAAAAAAAAGGATCAAATGAATTATATTTTAATATTATTTTTTCTTTTTTAAAAAATAATAATGTATTTTGTGTTGAGTTGAGGAGATAAAACAAGTATGATATAACTTTACCTTACTCATTAGAGGCACCTAAGAGTTTATAATTCTCATATGATACAACAAATATGTCCCCTAAAAAAACAAAGTAACTCGAGAAATAAAACAAACTTAAAAAAGATAGCTAAACAAATATTTATAAATAGCTAAATATTCTCAACCTCTCGATCGTTAGTTACACTGCCACTATAAACTTAATTAACACCATAGTAGCTTGCAGCCAAATAATAAACCTTATTCTGAAGTCATTGCACCCTAAGTATCTCTTACATACAGACTCATGAACCATCTTTGACATCTATCTAAAGACAAGGAGATCGAGGAGCCTTATAATTAACACCCCAATGTTACAAGGTTCAAAATAAGAACTTAATATCACACTCACTGAATCCAGAGGTCACAGTAAGACTTCATCCACCACATCACAAATGATGAAACAAGCCCCCATCATTGGAGAGGTGACATCGTATGACAAATGACTCTAACCCCACCTATAGAGGTATAAAGTTACACCGTAGGGCAACTCAAACCCTCACTACTAGAAGAATGAAGTTGCACAAAGGGGCAACACAAACTCTACCAAATGGAGGGATAAAGTGGCATATATAAAGAATGGACAAAAAAATAATAGGAAACCCTACCACTAGATGGACAAAGCCCTGCATGTGGGTAGGGGTTTTTTTTTTTTTTTTATTCTCTTGAAACAACTCTAGGATTTTTTAACAATAATATTAATATTTTAATGCTTTTGTTTAAAAATAAATAAATTCATTCATCAATAATAGAAAATTGTCACAAGGGTTTACAAACCAACCTATACGATGTGGCACACCAAAGGCACCAATACCTAACTCTAAAAGTGTAAAACACTTGGTTAAACATATGATAATAGAGCAATCTAACAGTTACATATATATTATGATTAAACCCGAATCTTGATTTGACAATGAAGCTACAAGTCAACATAATTGAGGACCAAAAGATGAAAAGGTAATTGATGAGATAGACTATTGTTAAAAGCATTATAAGGTAACATAGCACATACCAATCACTTCTCCTACTCTAACCCTTCAAGAAGAAGAATAAAAAGAAGGATAAAACCCACACGAACTATGCCCAAAGGAATGAAATTCCACATAAGCCAATAGGGGAGTCAAGAATCCTTGCAAAAATACCTAAAAAATAAAACAAAATCATGAAAAAAGAAGAGAGAAGCAAAGAATCAACGAAAAAAATGAAAAAAAATGAGAATAAGAGGGAAGAGGGGAGCGGCGGCTAGGGTTTCGTTCAATATTTTAATATTATTTAAGAGACCAAATATGGTCAGTCTTAATTCTAATTAGGTAAAACCTAATGTTAAGTCCTCAAACTTATCCTATATTAGTGCATAAGCCATTGAACTAAAAAATGTGTGTCTAAGCCCTCAAACCCTACTATGGATGCAAATCAATCCTCCTACCATAAACGACGTTTGATTTGTCAATTAAAAGCAATGGTTGTCATTAATGTGTTTTAAAATATATGATTGATTATAATTTAGACATTAAATTTATCAAATTTCAAATATAAATGATCCCTAAGATTTAACAAAAGCAAAATGATTAGTACATATTCAATTCAATACATTTTTTGACACTTATCCGATTCAACTATTAAAATATAATATAAGTACAACTCGTTTTAACCGATTCCTGCATCCAATATGTATGGTTGCGTCTTGAAGTTTGTGTGCCTTTAATTTCAAACTAAAACAATGATTTTTTAATGAGTATTTTGTGTAGGATGTTAAATCGGAGTGCACCAATCAATGTGCTTAACAAAATACTTAAATTGGCTCCCTTTTTTTGCAATTTCATTACCTATTTGATTTTAAACTGTCAACTTGGTTTTTTTGGATGATCCAGATGTTTCTATGCACTTCAAAACTAATCCCTCCTTAAGCGATTTTAAGGAAGCACACCACATTGGTTTGGTGTATTCAAAGAAATTAATTTTAATTTCTTGATTGTTGGCCCAAGACTTTAATCTTGAACTACCTACAAGATAGGATTTGTTTACAAGTGAATTCAACTCTTAAATTTGTATATTAGCTTATTAAATCATGTAAATCAATTAATTAGCAGCCTTAAATCTAGAACCCCCACCAACCAATTGAACTAGAAATTACTGACCTAATATCCTAAACAGTATCACCCTCTTCCTCCAAACTAACCAACAGCCTATTAGCCCCCTTATATGATGAAAAAAGCACTGTACAATTTATACTGTATCAAACTACATAGCTATAATCATTGGAAGGGGATAAGCCCTTTAATAATATGGGCCTCACCCCTCATCCAATAACCCTTATTTTACAATTCAGTGCAATCCAAACCATAAAATAAAGCACTCTTATAAGATACCCAAAACTATCTTAAAACTTTTTCAACCTATAATTAATTGAATCCAATGATTGTAAAGCCATGGCTATATATAAGAAATGAAGAGAATCATCTTTTCCCGTGCTTTCAAAGCTCTATTTGCAAAAGAGAGTATTTTTTTGGGTCCTCACCTTTTGGGTCAAGTTGGAGCCCTTACTTTCAATAAAATACTCAATCCATTGCTCTTTCTTTTCAGATGAAGCCTCCATATCCTAGTTTCTCCACGCGAGGGAATCCAAATTTCGAGAAGTGTTTGCTTGAAATTGGTCCGGTCTAAGGATCAACTCCATGGGTTTTGTTGAATTATAAAAAATAAATCATTTTTAGTACTTTGTTAAAGTTTAGGAATTATATTTATTTAGAAATTAAATTAATTCAAAGATTAAATTGTAATTAATATATTTTTTTTTTTAACTCATCGCGGCCACTTAACTAACACATCAAATGTAAATAACGGCAGATAACTGATTTGCATCTATAATGAAGTTTGAGGGCTTAAGCACACATATTTTAGTTTAGAAGCTTATGCGTTAAGATGGAATAAGTTTAAGAGCATAAGATGGGTTTTCCCTTGTGAAAATCCTAGTTCAATTAGGAGAGGGACTCGTCACATGCTTTGCACGTGCTCACCTGATATTTTAAGTTTTAAACCCTTCCCCAATCTTACACAGAAACAGCGCTCTCGACAATGGCGAAACAGTCTTCAACACGCAAGTACAGGAACGGCCAGGCTCTCTCGGAGGTGGAGCTCGACACCGCTCTCCTCCTGACGGAGCTATGCAGAGGTGTCCGTCATGGTGACCGACCTGCTGGAAGCAGCGTTAAGAGGAAAGGAGAAGAGCGAAATGATGATGATCCGAGCAGCAACGGCGGCGTTGAAAGCAGCGCCTCGACCCCAACCACCACCTTAGCGAAAGGGATCTTCCTCGACAAAGAAGACGACGATGAGGATGAAGACGAGAATGATTTCCATCTCCGGCCAAGAAAACGGCGGTTTCGTTCGATTGACGATATTTACAGGTCAACAAAGCCTCAAGATAATTACAATCCTAAGTAGGTTCTTACTGCTGTAGATTTAAATTTCAATTTTAATTCGCTCCTCTTTCTCTTCGTATTAAAGGGTAACCAACCTTAATTCTCTGCATGCCAAATTTTAATGAAATTGTTTGTGTAAATAAAATTTTCTTGTCTTCCGATGTAATTAATAGATGATATCTAATAATTGATAACTAATAGGATTTCCGCTATAAACCAACACTGCACTAATCTTCAAAATAAAATTATTTGATGTTTTTTGGGTAGTCATTTAACTTAGTGGATAAGTAAAGTTACCTTTCTCATTCATGGGTTTTCTTTAGGAATTTTTAGCGTTTTGTCTCTCCAGCCTTCAGCAGCAGGTTGCTTGGGCTCAACCTTCTTCCTTTACCCTTTTTCTTTCTTCCTTTTAGGGTGCGTTTTCCTGGAAATTATGAATTTGTTAGAATAAATGAACCAGGGGTTATATACAACTCCAAGATACATATAATCCATAGGAAAAGAGATATCGGGTGTATAAATTAATCCATGTTATTTGGCGTTATGCAAGAATACTATATTTCATTAGTCTTTTTATTTTAATCTTTGAAAGCTCTAAACTATTACTCCCTCAAATAATTTTTTATTAACATTCAATAGAATAAGATGTAATAATTAATTGAAATTTTTAATATTTATCTTTAATTAATTATTATTTAAGTAAGTCATTTTATTCAATAAATATATTACAATTATCTATATAAAATAGAGATAAAATAAGAATAAATACATTAAATGATATCTTAAATAACTAAATTTAAATATTTTAAATTAAAAATTAGATATAATAAAATTGAAAGTGAGAGTGCTACGTTTTGCTGAGTAACAAAGACCCTTGAGTGTCTCAAAAGTGGGTGCTTATATGCTAGTAAATAAGGGCATTCATTTTAAAATTTTAATGACTAATTAATGTTTAATTTCGGAAAACATTATGATAAGATAACTTATTGTAGTGATGAATCATTTACTCTAACATATATATGGATAACTTTCTTCGTATTTGATGTAATAGTTTGAAACTATAAATTAATAGTTTTGTATTATGATGAATAAGAGTATTTGTTTATAAATAATTACATTTATCAACTGTTGGATTAAACGATCATTAATTGTTAATTTTAAAGTGTTATACCAAATACCTTTTTAATTGACTTGCTGATAATGAGATAAATAATTATTTCTTTGGATTTTGTAGCTAATGGAATTTAAGTAATGTTTTTTCCTTGTTGGCTTTCAAGGATAGAATGGAAGATCACCATCTTTAGAGCTGTGCTCTAGAAGCTACTCGATTTGATTTGACTCAACTCAAGTTCGAATGATAATTAGATTTAAGTTTGATCTTGAATTTACTAGTAAGTTCAAATAATAAAAGCTTTGTAATATATTTTGTACTCAATCTCATTTTTAAAACTAAATAGGAGCTTGAGCTTGATTTTAAATTCAATAAACATATTGAGTTTAAACTTAAGCTCAAGTACATGAGATAGTTGGTTGGACTCATTGACAAAACTCATCTCTCAAGCGTTTGTTTACTCTACTAATATGATTTTTTAGAAAATATCTTATTATCGCATGGCAATTTTAAAAATTTTTCTCTTTGAAAATTGGCCGTTTATCATCGCATGCCACTTAATTACGAGTAATTAAATTCTCTGCGTGGAATTAATGTAGATTGCTCATTACTAGTTAAGTCTCAAAGTAATAAAGTTGGCGGCTTTTCCGAGTTATGAGGGTGACAAAGATGGCGGATGATGGGTATTATGGAGATTTATCTAATTTATGGGCCTTGCAATCCCAGGCCTTGAAAGAATTGACCTGGACTGGACACTTAGTCCCCGCAATCACGATGTCATATCATCGTCGGCCCAAAAAATGGAAAGGAAAAGAATAAAACTGTGGTTAAATACCTTTTTTGGTCCCTATACTATTGAAAACACCTTTTTTTGGTCCCTATACTGAAAAAATCCTCTTTTTAATCCCTAAAGTTTAAAATCTAACCTCTTTTTGAGTCCCCTCATTAATTTTTGCTTGTATAACATGTTATCTTAACAGGAACCT